GAGAAACAGCATAAATAAGCAAGGCTAAAGCCTGATAAATTTTTTAAATTTTGAATTAAATAAATATACTTAAGGATGTATGTTTATGCAGTATCGATTGCAAATACAGCCCCATCTATATTATATATATATATATATATATATATATATATATATATATATATATATATATATATATATATATATATATATATATATATATATATATATGTTAGGGTCCTGACAAGCTTCGAAATTTTGAATCAAATCAAATATATGATTCGAGATACGATTCAAAAATTTTTAATAATCGAATCCTTACTTATTTTTTTTTTGTTGTGGGTTTTTTAGATATTCTGCGCGAAGATATTAGATATTCTAAGATAAATAGAACCAATAAGTGTTATACATCGTTAGAAAACTATTTTATTAACTCAAAAATTAGTATATTAACTCAAAAAATAAGTACTTAATAAATTTAAAAAATTATTTAAGAGATAAATAAAAGGTCATCAAAAAAAAATCTAAAGAATAATTTTTGAAAACCATTTTATATATTAAATGCCAACTTATGTTTATTTGTTTTTATTTTTATACTATTAGCATATTTTTTTATGCTAAACTTTCTTTTGTTTATCTAGCAAGATTTTTCCATGTTCTTGGTCTTACAATATTTTGCAGATAAGTGCATAGAACTTATTAATCAGTGACTGATAGAAACTAATGAGATTTTGTTCTACAAGGCAATGGTGTTTTCTCTGGTTTCAACTGGTTAATTGAAGTTTTATATTAAAAGCTTTGAAAATTTGAATTTATTTTGATGATTCATTTAGATTTATTCCTTAATCTTTTTAATGGTTACATTTCTGGATCTTTTATAAAAGATCCAGAAATGTAACCATTTTACGTTTAGCAGATATTGGCCAGGCCTCCCTTGTTCTCTCAGAATTGCAACATTTATTCAGAGGTTTCAAGTTACATAGCTTTAAAAATATTTGATCAATTCTAAAAATTTGTACTTGGCTATTTTTAGGGATGACAAATCCAATGAAATGTTTGCTAAGTACCTGTATTTATCAATTAAAAAAAAAATTTAAGCTATTTTTATATACCTGATTTTGATGCTCAAGAAACCCGTGTCCTTGATGATATCAAAAAATTTTTTTTACACATTTGTTGATCTTTCAGAAAACAAGGATTTTGATCCGCAAGATTGTGTATTTCTTTGAATACAGAACACGGGTACGGTCCCAACTTTTTTGTAGCAATATATTGCCAGATGGTCCATAAGGCCTGGGCAGCAGGGGCTGTGCCCTCCTTTTTTTAAAAAAAAGTTTTTTTTTTTTGACTATGTAAAGGTAACAGAAAATATTGTCTTAAATATTTTTTTGGTTTATACTTGTTCCATTTGATTTTTTATCATTCTAAATTTAATGATCTTTCTTAAAATATTTTAGAAATTTCACATGTTTTTAATAATTTTGATTCACAAGTTAACAGATTAAAAACAATCATCCATCTAAAATAATAATTTTAACAGAATTTTGCATAAAATTTAAATGTAAACTTTTTGAATTGAAAAAAGTTGATACTTTTTAATGCTAAAATGTTAGCAGCAAGTTGTTTAATTAACTAAAATACAACATTAAAAAAATTATATCCTGCCACAAAATTCACTTAATAAAAATGAAAATTATTACCTTTTAAAATTATTATTTTAACTGATATTTAATTCTAAAATGTTAACATTAAGTTAAAATTTAAAATTTTAACAAAGTTGTTTTTTTAAATAACTATTAACAAAAAAACTTTTTTTGTTAATAATTTTTAACATTTATTACTATTAAATTTAACACCAAATTTATTACAATTTTTTTAAATCTTTTTTCACAGTCAAAAAAGTTAAAAGAAATCAATCCACAGTTTAATTTTCTATTACCATGTTTAAGTTGCATTATTTATATTAATTACTATTGGTTTCTCATTTTTAATTTAATCTGAAATGCAACTTAGACGTTAGTTCTACAGTAAGAATGGACTTGTGTGATTTTTGGAAAATTGTCAAATGATACTTGTCATAAACTAATTTATTATAGAAAGACTTTTAAAGAGATTTGATTGTTATAGTAAAGATGGCAGAAAGGAATTAATTTGGAGATCTGAAATAACAGATGACAAACTTTTAACAATATGCCATCATCAAAGATTTGAAAAGTAGAACAATTCCTGTAATTACGAGCTATCGTCAATTTAACCCAGAATCTATAGATACTATTAACTTAGAGCTATTGTCAAGAGATATCGTCGCTATAGATACTATTAACTTTAAACGAACAAGTTATATAACAGGCATTTTTTCTTTTTATGGTATTTGGAGTTGGCAAATTTTTTATGGTATTTGAAGTTGGCAAACTAATCAGCAAACTAAGATTGATGACATTAAAATTTGGTGAGATTTCTGTGTAAATACTGTGTTGATGCATTTGATTGATATCATAAATTTAATTTATTGTATTAATCCATCATCTTTTCATGATGATGATAAAAAAAATTGTCATCTGTTAAAGATGACCTGGACAGCCCTTTTAACAAACTTTTCTTGCCACCTAGAGCAGATGAGTGTTAGATTTTAATTACCAACACAATTTGTATCGTGTACAATTGCAATATACATATTAATTACAATTACATTTAAGTTTTTAATCCTTATTAAAATTTCTAACTACATAAATCTTTATTAAAATAAGTTTCCTCATATATGCTAAAGAATTTTCAAATAATTGAATTCTTTCTCTTGTAAAAACATTTTTTTTTTTTTTTTTTTTTCAGTATTAAAATTTTAAACATTTAAATATTTAAAACATGTTATTTATTTAAAACATATTATTTGAATAATAATACTTATTTAATCATACATCAGAAAATAGTCAGCAAGTCTTTTCAGCAATGGTTGTTTTTCTATTATTTATGTTTTAAGTCCAATGTTTTTTATAACAAAAATTGTTATAAAAAACATTGGACACTTTATTTTTTTGCATTTTATTTTGTAAATAATTAAAGAAAACAGAACAAAAAAATTTTTAAAGACAATTTTTTTAAAGTTATCTTTACTTTATTAAAGTTAAAATTTTTTTTTTTTTCAAGAAGTGGGGCCCCGTGTACCCTCTGTTAATCTGCCCTGAAAACAATTTTAACACATGTTTATCAGGACTACACAAAAGCTAAAATTTTCAGAGCTCTAGTTTTTCTGGAAAGTAGTAAAAAAATCTATTGTAAAATTCCATTACAAAAAAGTGGGACGCATGAACCTACCCCTATTGTGTTTTGGCCCTGGAAACAATTTTAATATGCATGCTTATCAGGGATCAGAGTAACATCATCCGTTTTTGCTGTCTAATAACATCTGTCCAATAACACCCGAAACATCTGTCCAATAACACCCGAAACATCTGTCCAATAACACCCGAAACATCTGTCCAATAACACCCGAAACATCTGTCCAATAACACCCGAAACATCTGTCCAATAACACCCGAAACATCTGTCCAATAACACCCGAAACATCTGTCCAATAACACCCGAAACATCTGTCCAATAACACCCGAAACATCTGTCCAATAACACCCGAAATTTCATCGGTAAATAATAACATCCATGTAACTACACCTTAAAAAAAATATTTTATAATAATGCATTATTTTAACCAGATGTAGTTACACATTTTTTTTGATGTAACTAATCCGCCAAAAAAAAAATATATGATGCATTATTTTAAGTATAATAAAATTTTTTTTTCTTTTTTAATTATTTGATAGAAATGCTGAACTGCCTGCCCAAACCAAATCCTCAGTCAATGTAGCAGCACTCCGTTGCGAGTCAGGCTATTTGTCAGTCAATGTAGCAGCACTTATATAACATAATAGTTATGTATGTAACTACATCCAGAATTTTTTTTGTAATAATGCATTATTTTAACCAGATGTAGTTACACATCTGATATTTGCTGATGTAAAATCAGGGGAAAAGATATTTTAAAAATGCATTATTTTAACCAGATGTAATTACATCTGATTTTTTTTGGATGTAATTATGTCCGGAAATTTATTTTGTTTAATAATGCATTATTTTAGGCGGGTGTAGTTACACATTGAGAAAAACTCCCGGATGTAGTTACATCTTTTTAAAGATGTTATTAGACATCAATGAAGTTTCGTTGTTGGACAGATGTTAATTCAATAAAGAAAAAAAGCAGATGAACTTGGACAAAAATGTGTGGATGTTATTTCACTACTTCACGGATGTTATTGGACAGATGTAGTAATCTTTTCCCCTCATCAGCGCTTTTGAAATGTCAAAAGTTTCAAAGCTCCAGCTTGTCTGGAAGGTAGAGAAAAATTAATCTTAATTTTGCTACACAAAAGTGTGATTCATGCCCCATTCCTTATATAGAAATCCATATACTTGCAGATAAAAATCTTTATATTTTTTAAAAGATCAATTAATATAGAATGGTGTGTAAAATTTATTTTTTGATAGCATCAAGGCCATGTGAGTTTCTTAAGCATTAAAAATGGGTATACAAAAATTCCCTAAATTTATTTAAATTGATAAATACAGGTACTTAATAATATTTTTTTAATAATTGATTATTTTATTGGATTCATCAGTCCTGAAAATAGCCAGGTACAAATTTTGAATACATATTTTGATCACATATTTTAAAAGTTATATGACTTAAGCCCTCTAAATAAACATTGCAATTCTAAGGGGACAAGAGGGGTCTGGCCAATATTTGCTTAAAGCAAAATGTTTATATTTCTTATTTTACTAAGTACTCTCATTTGTATAAAAATCAGCAAAATCTAAGAAATGGCTTGGGACAATTAAGATGGAATTACCCCAATACAAAAAATTTCAAGTTAAAACTTTAAATTTTGATTTACTTTCATGTTAATACAATTCTTAAAAAAATTTTTTTTTTACTTGTTTCTTCATCTTTATAGTTGTTTTATTTATCTTAGACTCTTGCTGGACGTAAAATAACTGTTAACTATGCAACAAAGCCTACAAATGGTGGTGGTACTGCAGGTGGAATGAGTCGTGGTCGTGGAAATTTTCGAGGGCGAGGCAGTAGAGGGGGTTATGCTAATTATGGTGGTGGCTATGGGGGATATCAGCAAGTTAACTATCAACAGTATGATGGAGTTTATGGAGGAGGTTACATGCAACCTGCTTACAACTCTGCATCTGGTGTTGATGGCTCTGATTATTACCAGCAAGGTTCTTACATGCAATCATCGGTTCAGGCTGCTAAGCAAACTGGATATTCTCCAGAAAATGAAAACTCTGGTTATACCCAACACAAGAGTTATGTAACAGCTTCGCCTGTCGTTATTTTAACAGGCTACGATCAAAGTGCAAATTATGGTCAAAAAAGCACTGCAAACTATTCATCTCAATCGTCTTATGGGGGTGTGGCAGATTATGAAGAATCTATTTCTAATGGAACTTACCCTGTAAATTCTTATACACAACAGTCACTTTCTGGTAAGTAATTTTTCTGAATACTAAAAATAAATCTATTATTATGAATTAATTTATTACTTTTACAATGTAAATTCTTTATGTTTAAAATAGGTTAAAAAAAAAGTTTAAAATTAAGGTTGTCGCATATAAAACTTAATAAAAAAAAAAACTTTAATCTATTCATCGTTTCTGTAAATTTTTTAGAATACATTTTAAATGCAATAATCTTTTTAATTATAATGCATGTGCATCCTTTACAAAAAAGTACATATGTTAATGGGTCTATATGTTAATTTTGAAAATATTTTGAGTCTCCCAATATATCCCAATTTTGATAACGGTTTAGGCGCTTAATCGTCCTCTAAATCTCCTTAAACACTTGTTAACTCGAGCTTTTGTTATTCGAGAATCTTATATCGGCTTTTATCCTGTTGCTTTCAGGTTCAAAAATATTTTTTAGTTTTTGTGTTATTTTTTTCAAATATATTTATTTTTAAATTTTAGGTCAAAGCTGGCAATGAATCGAATTAAAATTCTTTTTTAAACCTTAAATTCTGATGTCTGCTTAAGTATTTGGATTTGTCAGACAAAAAGGACTACTTCGCGGTTTCTCGATAACTTTTCAACAAACGTTTGAGGAAAAAGTTGTTAATATGGTCAGCACTAATTTAAAATTGATGTATCGATCACTGAAGAATAGAGATATTGTTTTTATCTTCGTGATACAAATGTTCTATGAACCATGAATAGATTTTAAAATGTGCTGTTACAATTTAAATAGTGATAGTTTTGTATTGTATTGATCGTATTGTAAACTGTCGAGGGGTACTAAAACCCCAATAATATAAATATTTTTCATTAAAGAATTTTTGGTGTAATTTTTTTGGTTGATTTTCTTGCACTGTGGAAAAAATGAGTTAAACATTTTTAATCGGATATTAGAGTGAACAAAATATTTTGATGAAACTCAATATGATGAGTCAGGGTAACAATATCAGTTTTTCCTATGTCTAATATCATCTGACTAACAACATCCGAAAATTCATTGATATCTAATAATATCTGCAAAAATTAAATGAATATTACAGATGTAGTCACATCTTTTAAATTATCAAAGTGTAATAACATCTGCACTATATCTGTGGGTTCTTCAGATGTAGTTACACAACATCACAAATGTTATTGCACTTAGCTAGTTTAAAAATTGCAACCGCCATCTGTAGATTTTAAGATGAATAAACTAGTCATTTTTTTATCCAGATGTAGTTACATATATGATTTTTTTCAGATGTAATTACAACTGGAAAAAAATATTACCTTATAATACATTATTTTACCCAGATGTTATTACATAAAGAAATTTTTTCAGGTGTAACTACATTTAGAGAAAATATTTCCAGATGTTATTGGAATTGAAAAAAATTATCAGATATAGTTACATCTTTCTAAAGATGTTGTTAGGGGTCGTTGAATTTAAATATTTTTTCCTTTTCCGTAGGGAGTGGAAACTAACCTTTAAAGGTAGAAGTTAATAGACATGACGTTATAGAGTAAACGTGAATCGAGAAGAGTTAAGTTTATTTTCCGACCTTTATAAATTATACTTCGTAACTGTCGCACATTTTCAAGGACATTTGTGCGCTTAGTGTGAGTTTTCATGCTATATAGAAAAGTCGCCGTTGCTAAGTAATGAATCCTCCTGTTGAAGCTGCTATAACTTGGAAGAAATAACTCTAAATATTAAGTCAAAACATAATTTATACATGTCCTATAAATGATTGTGTGTTACGCAATAAAAATGTTTTAATAGTCTTGGTGTAATGTAAAACTTTTTTTAAATATTTATCTCCCCGACATCTTACTTTATTTCATTCTTAATAAAGTATTTTGATGCTGGTCTATATGCCATGAGTGGGCAACCCGCGGTTCTTTTATCTATATTATGTGGTTCTTTAGCATTTCCGATTTATATATATTTTAAATTTGTAGAAACAAATAATTTATTAATTATATTTTTTCAATGCTTTAAATTTGCATAAATTTACATTAAAATAAAGTACGCAAAGTATTGCTCAAACACTTTGCGAAAGTGCTCGAATAAAATGAATCAACATTGTGTTAAAAAACTGTAGCTATTTTGAGTGCAATGCATAAACATAAAATACAATCAGTGTAAAAAAGGTATTATTCGATTAGAAATAGAAGTTTATCTAAAATTCTAAATCCTTTCGTGGCTATTATTTTAAACAACATTGTATTTTTGCTAAACATTTCTTTTCAAATTTTAAAATGTAAAAGACTTGGAAGTAAAAATAGTGAATGAAAATCGTGTCAAAAGAATTAAATTTCGAATTTTGTTTATTTTTTGATGAAGATATTCTCATCTACTATTGTATAAAAATGTCCATTGGTAATCTAGGAAGGTGTTCTTAAATGTTTCGGTCACTGTATCGATATTAAAGCTTTTTTTGTCGTTAAAAGCATTCGAATATCTAGACAATTTTCAAAAATTTACCCGGTTACGAAAAAGTTTATTTTGCTACGGTTATGACAACTTGTTTTAACAGTTTCAAGAAGGTATTGAAAGGACAAACTTACTATTAGAATCTCTAGGTAAAGAATTAGAAAACTTGGAAAGAATGAAATAAATTGTTTTAGTTGATCATAAATGGAAAGTACTTTTAAGTTCTAAGACATTTAAATATCATTAAACATCTTAATAAATAAATAAGTTAATAAATAAGTTGTCGATCTTCGACTTTTACACTTTTACACTTCGACTTTTAGCATTTATGCTGATCTTGGTAAGTTTTTTAAAAAATTATTCAAGCAAAAAAAAAAATTTTCGGACTTCAAGTAGATCGTAATGATCTTATCACTAAGCCCTTACAATGTGATTGGTATATATTATGATTATGTTAAATATAATTATATTTTAAGTATAACTCTTTTTTTATAGTCTTTAAATTAAAATTAACTCATAATAAAAAATTAACTCAAAATAAGCTCAGGATAAAAAATTAAATATAACAAGCAGCATAATAACTAAAATTGATAAGAAAAATCAAGTGTTTTTTTTTTGTGTAACTTTTTGATATATTGTTTGAGAAAAGTAAGAGTCATTTAGATAATACACATAAACGAGTCAATTCACTTTGTAGTTGATATATATGTAATTTAAAGTATTAAGAATTCAGAGTATCTGTTTAGATTTAGTATCAGATTTTTGAACTTTGTTTTCTTTGTTTTGTTTGTTTGCTTTGTTAAAAAGATTGATTAATCTTTAATTGTACTCGTGAAATTTTAAGGGGGAAACTCTCTCTAAAATCATCAAAAAAACAAAAATTTAGTATGACCGTTTTTAAACATAAAAATTACCATAGATTTCATTTATGTAGTTTTTTTTTCATAAAAATCATTCTAAAGTGCAGAAATATTTGGTTTTTTAATAGTAAGTTGATGTTTCGTTATATCGAAAGTGTAATTTTTTTTGTCGTATTTGAAAAAAAAAAAAAAAAAAAAAAAAGCTTATGTGAAATGCCTAACTTGGGTTAGGATGCTTCATTTTATTATACTTCTTGTTCAGCTAAGCAAAAGTAAGCGAGATTAAGAGACAAAAACAAACTTAGATTAATTTTATTTAATTTAACAAGAATGCCAAAATGTTGTAGAGTAAAACGTCGAACTATTATTGTTATGAAAAAGTATAGATCTTTTCCAGTTAAAAAATCATTATTTTATGAAGAAGAAGTTGTTGTTGATAGTGTAAATAAAGAATCTACTGCAATTGTAAATATTTTAATTAATAATGACACTGTGATTCACTGTCTGACTGACGCTTCTGATAATATTGTAAATATTCCAGCACCACATTCAAAAATACGACAAATTGATGTAGTTGAATCTTGTACTCTACTGTCTGGATATAGAATTATAGATATAGAAGTGTTATTTGTTATTTTTAAAGAACTCATTTGTCCAATGTGCTTCAATGAAGACTCTCTGTCTGACAACTCAAAAGATCGACACGGACTTGCTCCTTTTTAGTTTTAAAATGTTCAAATTGTTTATTTTTCAAAAATATTTGTACTATAAAAAAAAGTGGTAAGCAGGGATACGACATAAATAAGCGAGTTATTTAGACAATGCGGTTGTTGGGTCAATGTCACGCAGGACTTGAAAACTTCACTTCTTTTATGAATATATTTAAAAGAAACTTATAAACCTGGACCAGGTTTACCAATAGCTATTGTTTATAAAATCAAACCAATCTTTGTAGAACTCAGTGCTGACCAACATTTGGAAAAGTGCTTACATGGTAAGACACAAAATACTAATGAAAGTTTTAATGGCACTATCTGGGAACGTTTACCTAAAATGAAATTTATATAATATTATAACATGATAATGCAGTGGCTAATTATAACATTGGTCGAAAACCTCGATTTTAGTTTATGATTTTTTCCAAATAATTCCACAAGTATATACTCTTAAAGGTTGTAAAAATTTAAACTAAAAACAACTAAAAATCACGTTCCAAATACATAAATATTGATAAAAACAAGTTGCGACAAAAAATTATTTGTGACAAAAAACATAATAAAAATGATAATGAAAAAGAAAAAGAAGGGAAGTTGTATAAAGCAGGAGGTTTCTAATACTTTTTATTAGATATTTTAACTATAATATGTGTTTTATTTAAAGTTTCAAAGTTTTATATGCTAATTTTTTTTCTTTTCGCGTTTTCTCAAAATAGTCTTTTTTCATACGCCGGCCGTTTTATCTCAAGAACCGTTTTACTAATTTTGATGAATTTTTCTGGAGTTGTTTCTATGATTATAAACTGTGGTTTAATAGAAACAGTTTTTTAAATTGAGGTTTAAATTTTTTTATTTTTAGTATTCTGAATAAAAAATATTTTCGCCATCTTTAAATGTGCACCCATCGCTCAGATTTTTAGTTACAGAAAAATGCCGCTATTAAAACACCCTTTGACCTTTTGTGAAGCATTTGGTGAAAGCTTTTTAAGAGATCTTGCACGGTTATTTAGTTTTTATGGCCGGTGTGAATGCAATTTTTGCCCATTTTTATGCGTTTTTTGTGGTTACTATGGCAACCAAAAACCATTTTGTATTTTTTTTCAAGAATTTTGTTTATTCATATTATATTGATGTTTTATATTCTTGATTTTGTTTAAAATGTTTAATACTTCTGTTTAGGGGGGGGGGGGGGCTTCCCCCTTAAAGTAATATAATTTATTTAAAATTTCAATAAATGTTATTTTCCATTTTAAAACTTATAATATAAACACATAAAAGAAAAAAATATAAATTTACTACGATATGTTGTACAAAAATAAATTGTAAACAACTTGATTATTCAGAAGCGATATACGCAATTAAGACTTCTTGGGGCCCGGGGCTACTTTTGTTTTTGGGAGGCCTTTTTAAGGACCAGAGTCTAAAAATGACTAAAAAAAAAAAAAGAAAAAAAAAGTCCTTTAAGTTCTCTAAAATTTTTGGAGACCCTAAATTTGCGGGGCTTGGGGCTATAGCCTTTCCTAGCCCCCCCCTTCATTTTTGATCCTTTTTGATCCGGTACGCAATAATTATATCAAAATCATTCAATCAAAGTTTAGTTAATAACAATTTTTTTTTCTACTATAAAATAATATAATAAGCTTTAAAGTTAATTTCCGTGGTCGTGAGTTCCGATGTAAATGGTACAGTCGTAAGATCTATAAAATTCCGATGTAAATGAGTTTTATGTTGTGGAGATTCTTTAATAAAATTTACTCAATTTACATACCTGCAGTTCTTGACTTATCAAACTTCAAAAAACCATCAAAACGATTTTTAGTGTTTATTCAAAAAAAGACAAAAAAAAGTTTCAAGAGAAAAAAAAGGTTTAAGTATTAACGAAGGTTTATACTTAAGCATAAACGCGTTGTTATTGTGTAAAAATATCGACTTCATCAATTTGTAATCGATTTAGGCAGTAAAATAAAAGTTTTCTATCTTTATGAAATTCTCTTTTTAAATTATAACTAAACATAAAAATTTAAAACTCTTAGTTAAATGAACTTGATTTATAATACAAGTCTTCTTTCATAATCATCAACACCATCATCGTCAGCAGCAAAATCAGTTACATGGATCTGCACGCTTTGAAGCTAATTTTATATACGAGCAGCGTTCAGTATCACAACCAGTCGTATAATTAGACTAAGAAATTTAGTACACTTTCTAACGCTAGTGGATTTATAAACCATTCAACAGCAATTTCTGCTTCACTAATCAACCATCCTTATAGATATCATACGGCTAGTTGCAATAAGTTACGCATACGGCTAGTTGCAATAATCCTGCCTCCTATTTCACTTAGATGTTGCACAACCGTTTTTATAGCATCTAAAAGAAGTTTTTTATCATTTGGTTTAATCCAATATATTATTAATGAACATTATATTGGATTAATAATGAAAAAAACAAGCAAATTATGTATCTATGTTGAGTGCCGCACGAAGTTCTCACTTTTTATTTTAACTCAGTCAACCGAGAGATATGGTTCTCAAAAAATCTAGTACTTTAAAAGACCTCATATGAATTTGCAACTAGGGTATTTAAGAGAAACCCTCTGGATTTTGGCCAGAGTTTACATGTGGGAACCAAAAGCTTTAAATCATACGAGAATGCAAATATTGCAAAACTACTTTTAAATTATCGATCATATAAAAGTGAAATTATCTAATTTCATTTGCTTATTTCAAATAAAATAACCATTAAAATTACATTGTTATTGGACAACTTATCAAACAATTTTTAATCATGTATCGTCTGTCCTCGCAAATTGAAAGCTTTTAAATTGTTGTTATAACTACTTCTTTAAACACTTCTTGATTGATACAGTATTTCTTTTCAATACGAGCTGTAAAAATATTCAACTATTAGTGTTGATTAAAATGTCTATAAAATAACCATTATTTTGCAGAACTTACATAGTTTATTTTTTATATATTATAAAACTTTAATTATTTTTGGACAACACTTTAGATAAACAGTGTATTTTCTCACAATATTCCAATCGCATATAATAATTGGATGAAATATCCTTACCAACCATTATATTGCTAATTCCTAAAGGTTCAATACACTAGTCATCCACTCATTCTAATAAGCAAGACTAATTATCATTATTATTCAAACTATATTTACTAATACGTCTTTATTAATATTTATTGAAACTACAGACATTATGGTGGTTGAAATTCTAAAGTCAAATATTGACTTCAGAATTTCAACAACTATGTCATTATTCGGCTATTGATATTAATATCTAAATAATGACAACAATCAGTGTGCAACTATTGCAAATTTTCAGATATACTAAAAATTATGCAACCAGATCATCTGGTCATGATAATATTTAAAAAAAAAATTATTATAATTATGATAAGTATCATATAGATGTTTTGTTCCTCTAGCTTGGACTTTAACTTAAAAAAATCATTTAATCTTGTTGGGCTAGAGAGCTTGTCATTCCATAATTTTCTTATTTGAATATTATGTATTATATAACTTATTATTTTAAATAATTTTTATAACTAGACAAATGTAACAGAAAAATTAATAAAAAGAATTTAATGTTGAAAAGATGAAATTAAAGCCTTATGCTTTTGTAGGATTAAAATAAATAATACAACAACATGGTCAAGAATAAACAAGAAGAAAAGTGGGTGGGTGGGAATAGGAAAAGAGTTAAAGAAAAATCTATTGTTTGTAAAGTTTGTAAGCAATGGGTTTATAAGAGACCAGTTGTATACAATACTTTTGATTAAATACATGAATAAAAAATGTGTGAAATAATAAAACAAATAGCGGATAGATTAAATATCTATCTATTATATAAATATAATCAATATGGAGAAGTATAATGTGATTTGTTATATATATTTAGATAAATGGTAAGAAAAACTGTGGAGATTGAACCACAAGAAAGCTCTATATTCTTTAGAAAACAACTAACAGAAATATAATAATAAATGTATAAAATTATATATTTTGTATTTCTAGTTTAGGGTTTTAAACGTGTCAAGTTCTTTTGCATTTAAAGCAATGAAGTATTATTATGTTTAAAATTTCGACTAAATAATTTAAATATAATACATACTCAATGACTTCAACCTTATTTTACTATGAGTTGATGTACTTCATTAAAAAAGATTAAAATGTGACTTAGACCCACATTACCATTCTAAAAGGGGTAATCTGGATCGATTGAAAACAACTCAGATCAGTGCTTCTTAGACAACTTTAAAAACTATATATATTCTTATAATATATAAACTTTTTTAAATGTAATTTACTAAAAATGTCTAAAATTTACTAAAAACTTTAAAATTAAACTGACAGTATAAGCTCAAATTAAATACTTTTTTTACTAATTTGTTTTAAATTTTAAATTTAAATTACTGTTCTTTAAGAAAATTGACTTATTGTCAATTACTCTAACACACAAACACACTCACCCACAGATATATACGTATATATGCATGTATATATATATATATATATATATATATATATATATATATATATATATATATATATATATATATATATATATATATATATATATATATATATATGTATGCATGTATGTATGAATGAATGTATGTATGTATGTATGTGTGTGTATATATATATATATATATATATATATATACATATATATACATATACATATATATGTACACTTACTTTTATATTACCTTAACAAGTAGTTTTTGTTCAATTGAGATTGGTCACATTTTTTACCAGGATTTATTTCAGCTCCAAAAGCATTTCTAAATACAATAATTATATTATCACCTTTTGCCATTTTAACAAAATTTGCTAGAAAAAAAAAATATTTTATCCATATATTAAGCCACAAAATTTGGTTAGATGTTTTTAGTTATTTTGGCATTTTGAAAAATGGCAAGTCATCAAAGCACTCCATCTCTTGAGATCTTAATGACCACTAATAACAATTGATAGAAGAAATAAAAAAGTGTAAATTGTAAGAGCCAAAAAACAGAAATATAATAATAAATGTATAAAATTATATATTTTGTATTTCTAGTTTAGGGTTTTAAACGTGTCAAGTTCTTTTGCATTTAAAGCAATGAAGTATTATTATGTTTAAAATTTCGACCAAATAATTTAAATATAATACATACTCAATGACTTCAACCTTATTTTACTATGAGTTGATGTACTTCATTAAAAAAGATTAAAATGTGACTTAGACCCACATTACCATTCTAAAAGGGGTAATCTGGATCGATTGAAAACAACTCAGATCAGTGCTTCTTAGACAACTTTAAAAACTATATATATTCTTATAATATATAAACTTTTTTAAATGTAATTTACTAAAAATGTCTAAAATTTACTAAAAACTTTAAAATTAAACTGACAGTATAAGCTCAAATTAAATACTTTTTTTACTAATTTGTTTTAAATTTTAAATTTAAATTACTGTTCTTTAAGAAAATTGACTTATTGTCAATTACTCTAACACACAAACACACTCACCCACAGATATATACGTATATATGCATGTATATATATATATATATATATATATATATATATATATATATATATATATATATATATATATATGTATGTATATATATATATATATATATATATATATATATATATATGTATGCATGTATGTATGAATGAATGTATGTATGTATGTGTATATATATATATATATATATATATATATATATATATATATATATATACATATATATACATATACATATATATGTACACTTACTTTTATATTACCTTAACAAGTAGTTTTTGTTCAATTGAGATTGGTCACATTTTTTACCAGGATTTATTTCAGCTCCAAAAGCATTTCTAAATACAATAATTATATTATCACCTTTTGCCATTTTAACAAAATTTGCTAGAAAAAAAAAATATTTTATCCATATATTAAGCCACAAAATTTGGTTAGATGTTTTTAGTTATTTTTGCATTTTGAAAAATGGCAAGTCATCAAAGCACTCCATCTCTTGAGATCTTAATGACCACTAATAACAATTGATAGAAGAAATAAAAAAGTGTAAATTGTAAGAGCCAAAAAAGCATCAAGAGAGGAGAGAATTACAAAGCATCAACGTTTGAGAAAAAACTAGACAAAAGTTATTTAAAAAATAAAAAGTTACAATAAAAAAGATAAAATTTTGCTGAATGAGGAGTCATGTAAGATTAAGTATATCAGGGTGGAAAAAGAGATAAAAGTTTGCTTGAAGCAAATATAGTAGTATTTGTAGAAAAAAGTATTAAATTGTACTAAAGTGGTCATTCATTTTCTGATAAAAAGTGTTCTGGTCACCCAATATTCCAGTCAAGAGAAAAATATGCCGAGCTAAAAAAACTTGTTAACAGAAAAGGGGCCAGTCAGAGAAAATTTGGTGTAAATCAATCATCAATTGGTTGTCAATTAAGTGAACATTCAGAAAATGTGAAAATACATTATGAATAACAAATGAAAAAAACTAAAAAAACTAAAACAAAAAAAAAAAAAAAAAAAATTCTGCTATGTAAAATTGTTAATCAGCTCTGTAACGTAACTTCATTAAACTTTTTAAAAGAAATTTTAAAGAATTTTTTTTGAAACTGAAAAAACAACCTTAAACAATTTCTCTTAAAAATCAAAAATCTTACAAAATTATATTTTAGAAATCTTCTTGAAATCCTCTGACTACTCTCTAATTTTTTGTTTTTGTTTCACTCAATCACTTTTCTTTTTATTTTTTATTGCTTTTAAAGACTCTAAATTGACCGAGCCTTTTCCTTTTATCCCTTACTTAATAATATTGGTGACTTAAATGCTCATTATCTGACTTAATTGTTTACTTGGATAGTCTGAAAAACTTTGTGACTAGTTTCCCAGCTCTAATCAAGAAAGAACTCTAAACTAACCTTTACAGCAAGGATTCGTGTCTTGTCACTGACCCAACTGAGCTTAAGCTCAGTTCTCCTTGTTCTCCATTAGGTGTTACAGATCTAGCTATGAACTAAAACTTTTATCTCATACTTCTTCTACTCTACTAGATTAATCGCACTTTTTACTAACTCAAAGTTGACTGGAATTCTTTTCTTAATTTTCTTTGTAATGGTTGACTGGAATTTCTTTGTAATAGTTGACTGGAATTCTTTTCTTAATTTTCTTTGTTTGATGTCTTTTATTTGTTGAGAATTGCACTTTTTTTATACACAAAAACAATTATCTGGTGAACAAACTTGTAAACAAAATTGTAAGGAATTGATGCAAAAAGGTATCTGAAACTAAGCCCTACTATTCTTTGATTACTAAATCTCGTATTATATCACAGAAAATACATTCTAGAGACTCTTTTGGAGATTGCCCTGATCCTTTTAACTGTCCGATCAGTTTTCTTACTATTATTAGCAAAATCTTTAAAATCTAACAAACCTCTAATATCTTATCCTGAGCCTAACAAATTACACTCTGACAATCAACAAAGATTTTGCTCCTCACTTCTATTGTTCACTAACTTTACAATTTTTATTTGTCTTTGCATGAAATACTGTTGTCATATTTGGCTGATTCTTTTAATATAGTCCTCTTGAATTTATAGAAGGTTCCAAAAACACACTGTAAATCTTGTTGAAACTAGGTACTAAACTTGAGCCTATGTCTCATCATTATAAAGTTGCATCTCTTTCTCTTTGCTGCAAATACTATCATGGTTGTACTTATATGAGCTTTTCATCATTTTTTTTTCATCATCACATTTCATTAATCAAAACTCACATCACGTTTCATTAACCAAAACTCATTACAATGTTTTTTAGTAATTCTAATTGATAAAAAATTGCCTAGAGCTGCCTGCAGCCTTATTGAATTGATTTATATTCTGAAAAAGCATTTAGCTCAAATTTTTGATAAATAGAATAGTTAAAATTCATTTCATATAAAAAACACACAGACACATAAAATAACATCTATATGACAAAATAAAATTTATCATTAACTCTCAATTAATGTTTTAAAATTATTAAAAACGATAAAATAAGTTTTGTAAAAATATTGTAAAAATGAAATTACTTTAAAACATAATAGCATTGGCGACACTTTTTGTAAAGTGTCATTCATGACTTTGTGTTGCAGTGTCAAACATATCTTCTTATGTGAGGAAATTAACTCCCTTCATTATCCACTGTAAAATTCAAAAACTTGATCTTGATTTTTCCTAAATCTAGACATAACAAAAACTATATTCAAATATCTTAATACCATTAAATTATTTATCATGATTATTCCGATCCTTGATCAAAAACTTAAACCAAAATAATAAGAAAATTTAATTGATAACAAAAATTTTTTTTTTGACGTTTTCGTAAATTACTAGAAATAAAAAATTAAAAAAACAAAAAACCCGGCTTCTTGTCATTTTGTTTATTAAAACTTGCCTAATCATAATCCATATTACACAGAAAAAGCGCAAAAAATAGAACAACAGAAAAAGCGCATAGATAAAAACAGTAGAGAAAAAAGCATGCCCATTAACATGCCCAAAAATTTTAATGGAAAAAATTTAAAAAGATAAACTTTTGGTAAAAAGCATAAAAAAAGCACTTTTTAAAAACGCGTAAAATTCAAAAACCAAAAAATTGTTCAAAATAAAAAAGACCACTTAACTCAAAAAAGATTTTTTTCCAAGTTCTAAACTTTTATTTTAAAGTTATAATTTCTTAGATAAACAATTTTTATTGTACAAAAAGCTTAGAAAATGAAAGTTGGCTGTTTTCTTTAATATCCTAAAACTGGAAACCATAAAAAGTTCTCATTTATTTCAGAAGTTACGTGAAGAAATTTCATTGATAACCAGATTGATTATATGATTGTTGTGAGTAATAATTTCCAGCATTTCCTTGAGTTGCATGGTGATAATTTGAATATTCATTAGAGGAATGACCATACCCTTGGTTGTTTGCATATCCCTGGTTATCATTGATATATCCAGGTTTACCATTTGTATCTTGTCTTGAATTACGCAACTGACCATCTAACTCAGCTCTTCGTTGAGGTTCCGTGTCTTTAGACGCTAAAATATATATAAATATATATTAAAATATTTTCTTAAAAAAAAATTTTGTCATTATATTTTGTATTAAAAAATACATGTTGCCTACTCTAACCCAAAACCTTAATGTTATGATTAGGGTTGACCCTAACCTCAAATGAGAGATTAGGTACCTCAACTGGGTTTGGGTAGACAACATCGATTTCTAAAGACAAAAATAACAACAAAAATTTTGGCTATCTTTAATATTCCTTTTTTATTTTTAAAATGTTTTTTTGCTAAAAAAAAAAAAGTCAAATATGTTAAAAGATCTTAACCTACATTCAAATACCTTAAGTGGGTTTACTTTTGAGAAAGGTATATATACAAAGATCTATTTTGAGTTTTTAATATACTAAATTTTTTATATACTAAAAATAAGTTAAGGATAGGAGATTTTACTTTATAAAATACTAAAAATAAGTTAAGGATAGGAGAGGCAAGCCACAATTATGTCTAACTGACAGGCTGCAACATAAGCACAAAAATAAATCAAGTTCCTTACTTGATTTAACTTCTTATTTTTTTGTTCATTTGATAGAACTATAACGAAAATTTGACTATTGTAATGATAATTTTGAAGCTTATTTTTAAATAAAATAGTAGAAAAATCTTAAATTAGATGCAAGTTTGAATAATATAGAGTAAAGAATATTTAAAACAGTTTAGACAAAAATTAAAATATTTAAAAAAAAATGAAATGAAACTTAATTTAAGCTTTAAGTTATTTTATGTGTTAAAAAATCTCAGAGCAAAATTTAAGTGTAAAAGCATTTTACAAATGAGAAACGAAAAAGACTGGAACCTAAAAAAAGACTGGAACCTAAAAATTTTATATGGAATAAACCTAATATTTAATTTTAGCTTTTATCTTATCATCATATTGTAAAAACAAGAACAACAACAACAAAAAAAAACAAAAAACAATTGCATAAAAACGATTCAAAACTTTTAGTAATAAGCTGCAGTCATCTAATCCATTCATTTGGAAAGATAAAAACAGCAAAGTCAGCAGTGAAACAGCTGGTGGGGACTGAGAGAAACACAATGATGAACAAAAGCACAAAATACACTGATAAATCTTGGCCTCTAAAGACCAGAATACATTATCAAAATCAAAAAGCGTTAGTATTCTGCATTATCTGCAAACATATGTCAACATTGATCAGAGTCATAGCCATCAGACTGGCCTTACATACTTACATTTATGAGTCCAAATCAAAAAAGCTAATGTTTGAATTTCTCAGTTAAAGCGAATTGAACAAACATTATTACATACTCTAGTTATGTTTTTGTCTAGATGCTTAGCATCAAATTATTTTTAGAAAAAAAGGTCAACATGTTTCCCAAGATGAAAAGAAATTTTTTCCCAAGCAACTCCTGTTTTTACTCAATCAATATGAACACAAAAATTATTTATATATTAGAATATCTAAATATGCAAGTTTTATTAAAACTTATAGAAAATGTTTCAAAAACTATTGATTGTGTTTGGCTTGTCATATAGTACAAACTAATGGCTTTCTGTAGGTGCTATAAATTTATTCTTATTTACACAATTTTTTTCACCTAAAAAATTTTATTTTTTTCCTCATGATTGCTTAAAAAATATTAGCTTTTATATAACTATTATTATAAAATGTTAAAGATATTATGGAATATTTTAATGCCTATTTTAAAGTAAACAGAGAGATACAATTCTTTTATTTTTAACTGAAACAATTTGACATCTTCTAGATAATAATTTATTAGACCACGATTTATTTCAGATTAAATAATTATTAAATTTTATCTAATGAGAAAAAAATTAAGCTATTCATAAAATGATGAAACATTTTTATAGCTAGTACTATAATAAAGTTAAATTAACATAAAATTAAAATCGATTGAAATCTTAAAACTTTAAAAACTATTGCTGTTGCCTATAGTATAAAAACAAAAACAACAACAAAAAAAAAAAACAAAACATAAAGGTCGTACCCTGAGATTCACGTTGCTCTTTCTCTCGTCTTAGCTTTTCTATCATTTCTTCTATCTCTTGAGTACTCATTTCCTTTGTAGGAATTCCTACACCCACATGATTATGTGGAGGAGGGGCAGGAAGATCATAAGCTGAATGAGGGGCATAAGCTCGAGGATCGTCACGTGCCCCATAAGCAGGAGGTGGAGGGCCTCGATAGGGCTCCCGTAAAAAACTTAAGTACATATCAAAATTTCGTGCTACTAATGAGAGACAATCATCAAGAGGCATGTTTCGGTGTTCTATCAAAAAAAAATCCAGCTGTGTAATAGTGATGATATAAAAAAGAAAAAATTCTTTAAAAAAGCCTCCCAAAAACTAAAAATAACGCATATATATAAATAAAAAAAATCTTAACCTTGATAATAAAAAGCAGCTTTAAAAACCAAAATGCAATCACATATAATTGTTTGGAAACTTCTTACCTTGTCTAGTTCCATGTAGAATATTAAGAGTACAGGAACGATGAATAGCATTTTGAGGTGCAACAACAACAGCGTAAAGAGTTCCAAGTCTAGCAACTCTATCAACTGCATCAGCAGGTGTAACATCAGGAGGTGGATATCCAATGTTACAAACAAGTCCTATGCTTCTTAAACGGCTTTCAACTTCTTCAGCATATCGACTAGCAAAAAAATAATAAACTGTGAATCTGTAGACATTTTTTTATTTATTCACAGATTAATCAAATTACAATAGTTTTATACAAAATTTAAATAGATACAAAGGTGATACAGATTTTATAGATTTAAACCAAATTTAAAAAAAAAAAAAAGAAAAAAAAAAAAGTCTTTCAAATGGATTTAATATCAATAATCTTATAAAAGTATTAATTTCTCAGAATTAAAAAAAAATTGAATCTTAAAAAAACATTAAAAACAAAAAACATGCTCATTTGATGTTCTTTGCATATTATTAAATCAGTAATAATAATTTTTTAAAAGCTATTCATCTTTCCATAAAATTGGCAATAGTTAAAGTCTGTTTTTAACAAAAAAATATTAAAAAAGCTTTAATTTTAACTGAAATGTATTTTATGAGTAATCAGAATACTAGGCTTTATTGCAGAATACTAGGCTTAATGTAATATTTTATCACTTCTATAATTAATTGAGTTGGAAAATAAAAAAACAAACTCATTTCATTCAAAACTTATTTAAAATAGTTAAATGATAAAAAAGTTTAATTTAAAAAAAGTTCTTAAGTATTTGCTTAATAAATGCTTAGTCATAGCTATTCTCTATCATACATTTTGCTAAACTTTCTAATCTTTGAACTTTCTCATTAAGTAAAATTTCATAAAAATGCAAATAAAAAACAGCTTTGAATAATAATAATGAAACTAAAAGTTTTTTTGGAGATATTTTGATTTATTTTACACCATTAGGTTGCAATAGGAATGATATTATGGGTAGAAAGCATGATAATTATAACTTTAATAAAGGTAACATAAATGAACTATTTTCAGAGGGTTATTTTCAAAGCAGTATAGCAAAACAATTCAAAGTATCAAGATGTGAGGTGTTGTTTTAAGTATGCAAGACTTGACAAATCTGTAGTAAAAAATTGTGGTAGAAAACCTGTAAGTACATCACAAGAAGATGGATTTAAAAAAAATATTGTTAATAGCAAGCCCCACATACCATCTGCAAGATTATCACAACTTGCTATGGAAAGAGGTATTACTATCAGTCTGAGGTACAGAGTTATTACTATTAATTTGAGGTTCAAAGGTATTACTATTAGTTTCAGGTTCAGGTTAAGGTTGTGTTATGACTTTGGTTTAGTTGCAAGAAAACCAGCTAAAAAGCTTTTATTAACTCCAGCATAATTGCATGCCAGAACTAAATTTTGTAAGAGTTTAAAAAGCGTTTGTAAACAAGAACAGCCAAAAAAACTTACATAAATATAACAATTAAGACTCAAGTGTCCCAAAAAACAATTTTTTGAAAATAATTACTTTTACTCCCCTTCCCCCCCCTTCCCCTAATTGTGTTCTATAATGAAACAATACTAGGCTTAAAAAATATTGAAACAAAAAATATTTTTAGGGGTGCCCCAAGACTCTTAAACATCAGACAGGTCCCTGATATTATCAACAAAAAAAGAGAGTATATAGCGGTGCAAATAGTATATTAGCAGATAAACACCTAATAAAAATTATAATCTAAAAAACAAAGACTCATAGTAATGTTATTAAATATCTTATTATGAAGATAATTTATTTATTCTTTTTTTAATTCATTGCTAATTCAATTCTATAAATTCAATAAAATAAATAGATTTTATTTCAGGAACTAGTTAGTTAATTTAAGTTACACAGCCACAGCCTTGTTAAACTCATCATCAGCTGAGTATACGCATCTATACCCAACTGGTATTTCTGCCACTTTTGTGTGGCATTTAAGGTAAATGATGAGTTGTAGCAACTATGATGACTGAAAACTGTCTAGTAGTCGTTTAAATTTATCAAGTGATGTTGCCTTGATGACATTATCTGGCAAAGCATTCCAGTCATTGACTGCACGGTTGTTAAAAAACTATGATCACAGTTTTTTTTATTTAATTAAATTTTAAACCTCCTCAAGGCCAATAAGGTCACTACATATAAGGAGGCTACTTAATAGTGGTTATAACCCTCACTCAACTCTATAACTCCTTGACGAACAAGGCCGCTGTTCGGAGAAACAAGTTGAGCGTGGACGTGGCGGAGATTAAGTAGCTTATTAATAAATGATAAAACCTATTTATAAATTATAATTTTTATTAAAAATAATTCATTAAATAGTTGATAAAAAATTAATCATCAGTTAAGAAATTAACCTTCTCGCATAAAATAACTAAAACTAAATTGTAATAAAGCAAACAAAAAATTATTATGTTACATATAAGATTATTTTAAGAAAAAAGAATCTTTTCAAAATACAAATTTAGATTTTATTTGCAACTTTTGTTATAGTTATTGTTATATATATATATATATATATATATATATATATATATATATATATATATATATATATATATACTTAAATTATAATTAAAATTACAAAAGAGTGCTAATTTAAATGAGGAGCAGCTCGCACAGCTCCCCAAATTCATTTTAGGAGAGCTTTTCTCAGCTCTCGTGCTCATTTGTTCCCGCCGAGGCCTATATATATATATATATATATATATATATATATATATATATATATATATATATATATATATATATATATATATATATATATATATATATATATATATATATATATATACACACACACACACACATATATATATATATATATATATATATATATATATATATATATATATATATATATATAAATTATTTTAGCGATAACATAATAATCATTTGTATGTTTTATTACAACTTAGTTTTTAGTATTTAATGAACTAGTTATTTAAAGATATTTGTAAACACAAAAGATATTTGTAAACATTTAAAATTACTTAAAATACTTCTTATTTCTTAAAACCAAAAGTGAAAAAAAATATTTACAGATTCAAATTATCATGGAGACTTTCGCAAAATAATAATGTTTTAATATAACGAATTGGTTTGCAAATAAAAAGGAAATAGTTATTTCTTTAAGAAGTAGTGAAACCATTTTATATTCTTTTTTCCATTTTACATTAGAAATTTCACAACCAGTACCGCACAAAACAATGTTGCTATGGAATGAAATCTCATAACAAGCTTATTTCAGCTCGGCAACATTTTTCAAGATTATGGTTAGCACTTGTATCGGCGAGTTTCTTAATCAACAATGTTGATTTTAAGTGCTGGTATCAAGAATGGTTGTTGATTTGGATAGCTATATTATTTAGTTAGGAAGAATCATGTTAATATAAATAATGTAAAGACACTATATTGTATTGTATTGTAACTTTATCTATTACTTTAATTGCTGTTGTTATACATATAGTATTATGTTATAGCATTTTTTAAAACTATTTTATAGGAATTCAATTTTATAATTAATTTTATAACCAACATTAATTTTATAATGAATGGAATCCAAATGTTTCTAAATTGTCTGATAAAAAAGATCATCATATTTTTAAATTAGGATAAGCATAAAAATTTAAATAAGCGTAGCAGAAATTTATGAATATAAGGCAAAATGTAACCTGATGAGGAGAATAGCTTTCTTTTACAATAATGTATTTAAATTAATAAAAAATAGTGATCTAAATATTACATGTATTTATTATTAATACATTTATTTTTGAAAACAATTGAATTTGAAAAATGTTTGACCATGGCACAGACAATCTATAAATATTAATAACTTAACGCTTCCGATGAATGCTCACCATTCGTGCACGTTTTTACACATAGTTTTATGAGCATGCTTAACCTTTTACATATTTCTCTTTTTGACCATGCGATGAGGTACTCTTGAATCTGTTAATATCTGTTTAATCAGAAATAAGATCGAAAACTTTGCTTCATTAACTTAATAAGTAATAAGTAATAATTAGTAATAATTTTAATATTTTAATTAAAAGACGATGGTGACTCTAAAAGACAATGCTCTTTTCAAGAGGTCAAACTCTTGATAAAGTTAGTGTTAAAAAAAATCTGTTTGCTTTTATATAAAAAACCAGATTGTTTGTTTTTCCAAGTTGTTAAACATTTATTATACGAGGTATGTCATTAAACAAAAATAAGGTTGTATTTTTAAAGTTTCTAAATTATATATTTTTCTTGATTTATATACTTTTATATAGATTAATTTATATTTATATGTTATTTATGTTTATGTGTTTAGGTTATATGGGTTTATATTTTGTAAGTGTAAATATCATTTATGTGTTTGTAAATATCTTTTCAAATTGTTGTAACTTGGCTTAAAGAGTGCTGATTTTGCTACCCAAGTGGTAAACCAACTTTGCTATAATGTGACTTGGCTTTGTTGGGAGCAAGATTGTTGTCCACACCAGTTAAGTGGTGTACTGCAGCACACCACTTAACTGGCATGTAACAGTACTGTTACACGCCAAACAGTAACAGTACTGTTATGATGAAATACATAAATTAAATCTGTAGTTAGTGTAGTCATAAAAAGTGTTAAAAAAATTGTTGAAAGAATGTGTTTATAAGAAATGTTGAAAGATATATAGTTTTTTAATATCTATAATAATTTTCTTAATATTTATAATTTTAAGTAACTTTTATTGAACAGATATTATACTTCATTAAATAATTTTTATACTGTTACTTTTTGAGTAAATTTGTTTAAAAGACATATACTTATATATATATATATATATATATATATATATATATATATATATATATATATATATATATATATATATATATATATATATATATATATATATATATATATATATATATATTTTACTTCACCTCCTCAAGGCCGAGAAGGCCGCTACAATTGAGGAGGCTACTTATTTTGTGGCTATAACCCTTTCTCAACTCTATAACTCCGAAACACGAACCTTGACGAACAAGGTCGCTGCCCGGAGAAACAATTTGAGCGCGGTACTACCAGGGACGTGGTGGGGATTGAACTCGGAACCACTCGTTTATGAAGCGAGCGCTCTACCACTACACCACTACCGCATTAATATATATATATATATATATATATATATATATATATATATATATATATATATATATATATATATATATATATATATATATATATATAGAAATTTGTTTTCAGAACATAGCTATTTGAAGTTTTTCCCATTCAACTATAATATTGTGGTTCAAAATATTTTTTACTAAATTTTTTTATTTGCTCTAAAGGTCCCTCAAAGCCCCCAAACATTTGACAGGTCCCTAATATTAGTAAAAAAAATTATTTAAAAATATGTCAACCTGGTACTCAAAAGAAGCAAAATTTTATAAAAATTTTAAAAATTAGATTCATTTTTTATAAAAAACAACTTAAAAAAACTTATTATTAACAAGGTTGTGAATATTACCTTTTTTTCATTTTTCGTTTAAAAACCATAGTTTTTATTCAAAAAAAACCTAAAATTGTTATTTTAATAAAAAACATTTTTTGTTTTGAAAATTTTAAATGATTTTGCTTTTTTTGAGTACCAGATTGACAATATTTTTAAATAATTTTTTTTTTTATAATATTAGGGACCTGTCAAATGTTTGGGGGCTTTGAGGGACTTTCAGGGCAAATAAAAAAACTTAGTAAAAAATATTTTCAAACCACAAAATGATAGTTGAATGGGAAAAACTTCAATTAGCTATGTTCTGAAAACAAATTAGCATACTGAACAGCCCTAATATATATATATATATATATATATATATATATATATATATATATATATATATATATATATATATATATATATATATATATATATATATATATATATATATATATATGTGTGTGTGACATATATACAATAAAATATATAAAATTAAAGTGTCTATACATATATGTACAGAATATATATTATTGACTTTTTTTCTTTAGAATATTAGATATCTATAAAAAAATTAAAATAGTTGAACAAGTTTCTTCACTTAAAGCAAATATATGATTGTTTATAGAAGTTTTCTTTTATTAGTTTTGTATTTACTTATTTATTGCAAACCTTGCATTAAATGTGTTTCAAAGTAATGAAATGGTTTTTTTGATGAATGATTACATTTTATCCTTATAGTTTTATTACTTATAGATTACATTTTATCTTTATAGTACTTGCTGAGCAGACAGGCCTTATTATTTTTAATTTGCTTTATTTATGAGTTCTTAAATGTAAAAAATTTGTTTTTTAAATTACTTTATTTTTATTTTTTGATTAAATACTAATAGTATTTTGTCAATAATTAATAACAACTAACTTTAATATGTAACAATACTCAGTTTAAAAGATTATATCAATTTATTTATAACTTTAGTTTAAATTTGTTATAATACTCAGTTTAAAAGATTATATCAATTTATTTATAACTTTAGTTAATAAAGTATGTTATACTAACACATTGTTATATATGGCAGCATAGAAAAGAGGTATGTCATTAAACAAAAATAAGGTTGTATCTTTAAAGTTTCTATATTATATTATGCTCTATATTATTTGCTTACACTTTATTTTAGATTAGTTTAAAAAAGAAAACTCAATTTTTATTATATTAAGCATCATTTTTATACACCTTTGATGCATGATTATGTCTGATAATTTAAGAAATAAAATTATTAGACTTGGTCAAAATAAAAGAAGGCAGGCTAGGCGAGCTGAGATAAACTGCCGTCGAAATAAAAGAGGTGAGTCCAGGCGAGCTGAAATAAATTGTAATCAAAATGAAATAAATCAGGCTAGGCAAGAACTTAATAGGTATAATATGCATTGCATAGCAAGAAATAATATTGCTACAGAGAGTAATTACCTCGGAGAATTCAACCACAATTATCAGTATAGTAGTGCGAAGAAATTTTTAAATAAAACTCATTTTTTGTGTTTCAGGAAAAGTTGTATTAGCTCCTCTTTCTCTATATCCACGATTGTTGACTGATTTAATGACAGGAAACCATGTTGATAATGCTATAAATCAAATTTTTTTTAAACACATAAGGAGTTATAATTCCTCTTAATCTTTTGCTTGAATTAGCTCCTCCCTCAAATAATGGCCTTTTCTGTTTTAGGGTCTGCGGGCAAATTTTGGAAAGAAATCCGTCGAGTAGCTTTAGAAGGTAGACCAACTTCTGTTGTAAGAAGGTCATGATAGACATTGATACAATCTTCCTCCTCATGAGGAGGTTGCTATTGTATTTGTGGGAGATGATGGTGCTCCACCTGCATCCAGGGAAGTTGTTATATACCCTCGAGGTCAGCCTTTAAAAACAATTTTGTCTATGTCTGCAAATTAAAATCCTATGGTATATCCAATATTTTTCTGGATGGCACAACCAACTGGTTGTGCCATCCAGAAAACCCTGACTGCGCAATCTGTGTTAGAAACCATGTTACTTTGTCTCTATTATAATTATAGGCTTGCGGTTAGACAAACTTTCAGTCCTATATACTATGGTAAGAAACTTTTTCAGCAACACGTTGCTGATGCATATGTTGAGGGACAGCGCCTTGCTTTTATTAGAAATAACCAAAACAAACTTAGAAGTGAACAATATGATGCATTGCATAAACATGTAATTAATTGTGCTAATGATCTTAATGTAAGACCAGGCTGCATGTTATATCTTCTTGTTAGCCGCGTTGTTATATTGCCTTCTTCATATGTTGGTAGTCCAAGAGCACTAAAAGTAAACTTTGAAGATGCAATGGCAGTCATAAAGAAATATGGTAAACCAGATCTATTCATTACTTTTACCTGCAATCTAAAATGGAGAGAAATAGTAGAAAATTTAAACTCAATATAAAAGGCAATCAAGTTGATAACGGTTGGGTTGTACCTTATAACCTATGGCTTTCTAAAAAATATCAAGCGCACATAAATGTTGAAGCCTGCAAATACTTCCAGTTGTAAAGAGAGAGCAACCAGCAGATACTGTTAAAGCCTTTATAAAATGTTCTCAATATTGGCAATATGTTTAGCGATTTTCATTAACAGAAAATATGAGGGTTCGGGCCAAACAAGAGGAATTCTCTCAATGAACTCTCTTTTAAAACTTGGTAGTAGAATATTACTATTAAAAGCAGATGGTTCCTTTCGCGGGTGCATTAAAATTTCTACTATTCATTTGCTTGCAGCATATGAATAGTAGAAATGAAAGTAGACAAGATTTTTTTAGTTGCAGAAGATGATTATGCAAAACGTGCCATTTTGACACCCACTAATGTAGATTCATTAGCAATAAATAAAGAAGTTTTGGACCGTTTACCAGGCGATGTAAAAGTTTATTTAAGTGCAGATACTATTGAAAAGATGATCTTAATGAAATCAACAATTTTCCTGTTGAGTTTTTAAACAGTTTTACTACATCGGGAATGCCTGTTCATTGCCTAAAACTAAAAATTGGTGCTGTTATAATGTTACTTTAATGCGGTAGTGGTGTAGTGGTAGAGCGCTCGCTTCATAAACGAGTGGTTCCGAGTTCGATCCCCACCACGTCCCTGGTAGTACCGCGCTCAACTCGTTTCTCCGCGCAGCAGCCTTGTTCGTCAAGGTTCGTGTTTCGGAGTTATAAAGTTGAGAGAGGGTTATAGCCACAAATAAGTAGCCTCCTCCTCTGTAGTGGCCTTCTCGGCCTTGAGGAGGTAAATTAAAATAAAAAAAATAAAAAATAAAAACTTTGAAATTTAGATCTTAAAGCTGGACTTTGCAATGATTGATGGTGCGTGCTCTACAAAATAATAATATTGATGGGCAAATTCTAACAGGTGTTTCAGTTGACAAGAGGGTATTTGTTCCTCGAGTTCAGTTAACACAATCTAATTCAAATTACCTTTTACTTTTAAACGTTGTCAATTTCCTGTAAGATTATAATGTTATTTTCTATATGTTAATATATATGTGTTATATAAAGTAAAAAATTTATGTTTTTTAAATGTTTATGTATGTTTTTATAAGTGTGGCAGTTAGTAGTTTAAATATGTTCAATAAACTCAGGATAACTCAACCCTCAACAATATAAACTAATTTTAAAATTCTACTTAAGCTTTTTTTTATATATTATACTTCCAATAACTAATTTTCTTTACACTAAACTAATTTCTTTGTTCTTTAAAGGTGTGGGTTATCTAGAGTTTACTTTAACATATTCTGTTATTTAATTAATTGTTGTGATGTTTTATGCTAATAGGCTTAGTGTTGATATGTCAGGGTTATGAAAAAATAAAAAGTAAGTTTCATATAGTCTACAGTCAAGAAAAACGTCTATAACAGAGAGTAATAGACAGTCAGTAATAGACAGTCAGTAATAGAACAAGTATTAGAACAAGTTAACTATAATTCTTATTTAATTATGTCATTATTATCTCTAGTAAATCATTAAAAAATTGGTGTAAATAAAAATATAAAGACTACCTTTCTTCTTTAGATAAAGAAATGACTTCACAGTCAATTGCAGGACGTACTCTTTGTGGAGGAGGTCGAAACTCAGGTCTTCGATAAGAAACATCGCGAGAAAGATAATCTCTTTCATAAGGTGGAGGGTAATCTCTTCGATATACATCTCTATCTTGAGGTATAGGGTAATCACGCCCTCCATAATGGGGTCTTTCGTAAGGATCAAACGGTGCTCTTAGGAAAGGCTCTGGTCTAAATAAATTCAATAAACTTATTTCTTATAAAGCTTTATTTTAACATTTTATTTTAGTTTTTCATAATGTTAAAAATTATCTTTAACAGATCTTAACAAAATTTGTACCTTGAATAAGAATCTTCCCTTCTATAGAGTTCTTCATACCTTGACATAGGTGACAAAGATCGACCATACCCATCATCTCTGTTAGGTGATTTTCTTACAGGAGATCTTGATTGTGGTCTACGAGGTCTTGTAGGACGTATACCAGCTCCTGCATTCATCATATGAGGTGGAACAACCTCTTCTTTTTTAAGAGGACCTTCAAACTTATCTTTCGCTTGAGTTTTACGACGCAATCCAGCAAGATTTACATCTTTATAAAAATTATAAAACAAAAATTAACATAATTATAACAAGTGAAATAAACTAACATTTATCATTTTGTTGTATAATAGATTTTATTGCATAACGGAAAAATGTAGCACAACTTTACTCAATATACATATTTACATTATTAAAAGTCAAATTACATCAAGTGCAAGCCTTCCCAGGAAAGGCGTGCGGTTTTTCGTCTTGTGTGACCACACGCAAGTATATTATTTTAGACAACTTGAACACGGCCATTTGCAAGTTTTATAACAATGCTGAAGTTTCAAAAAAAACATAAAAAACTAAACTAACAAAATAAAAAGAGATTGAAATAGAAAAAAATAAAAACAAATTAATAATTTAAATAATTTGTGTACTGTATTTATTTTATTTATTGTTTCTTTATAGTGGTTGTTACATTCAGCAACAAAATTAGATAAGGCAAAGCAACAAAAAAAAAAAAAAAAAAAAAACACAGTTTGAAGTCTACAATAAAAAGAATGATTTTCCTTTTCTTAACTTTTTTTTTTAAGAGGATAGCAAAAATACAAATTGCAATGTATTTGTAAAATTTATTTGTATAATTTTAATGTAACAACAAGGGTTGAATTAAGCAAATGCGAAAAGCAAAATCTGGAAAAATATCTAGTATTCAAAATTTTAGTTTATACAAAACTGTGTTCCTTGTTTTTAAGGGGAGAATCAACTTAAATTTGTTAGTGAAAAAATAAAAAATAAAACAATAAACTTTTGATTACAAAAGTAATAACACTCTAGTCACTAACTGCATTACAAAAGTAATAACACTATAATAGTGTTATTACTTTTATAACGCACTTATAACTTTTAAAATTCATTCTTTGTTCAAGCAACATTAGTATTCCCAAATTTTAATTGAAGTAGATAAATATCTAGAGGAATAAAGTGAATGTTCAAATAATATTTAAACTAAAGTAACATAAAAAGGTGACAAACAACTTTATGAAAACATCGTATTAAAAGTTTAGCATTATGAAAAACGCTACAAATGGACTGTAAAAACGTGCATTAATTTAAAAATTAACCAATAAAAATGTTTTATTGTTTGATTTTAAAATTAACGCGCACTTTTACAAAACGTTTTTCATAATGCTATACTTTTTATAAAGTACTTTTTTATAACATTAAGTGATATGTGAAAGTTCCTGAAATTTCTAATAATTTTTTTTTCGCTTTATTTTTTCTAGATGCTTTTCTACTTTAATAAATGTTTGGAATTAATAATGTTGTTTGAACAAAGAATGAACTTTAAAAGTAATAAGTGCTTTATAAATGTAATAACACTATTATTATTATTTATTACTTTTATAATGCAGTTAGTGACTAAAGTGTTATTACTTTTGTAGTTGTAACTTTCTCGCTAGCAAACTTTTAATAATTTGCTCCTTATAAACAAAGTACACAGCTTTGCATGAACTAAAATTTTAAAGACCTAATATTTTACCAGAGTTTGCGAATCGCGATTGTAAACTTGTTACATTATAATTATACAAATATATATTTACAAACAGATGGCGATACATATTTTCTCTTTCCTCTTTAAAAGAAAAAACACATAAAATATGGGAAAGTCATCCTTTTTAATGCCTAAAACCGTTTTTTTTTTAATTTTTTATTTTTGCCTTGACTTAATGAATTTTGTTGCCGATAATAATAAACACTAAGAAAAAACAAATAAAAACAACACACAAATTATTTAAACTATTATTGTTTTCTATTTGAGTTTACTTTAATTTCTTAAGTAGCTATTAAATTTAAAACAATTTTTCAGCAACGCATATAATAAAACTTGCGCAAACAGCCGTGATCATGTTCTCTAACTTGAAAAACGTTTTTGTGGTCGTATGAGACAAAAAACTGCAAGCCTTTCCTGGGAGGGCTTGAAGTGCGTATTTTAAAGTACCACATTGAATAAATTTAATTTGAAAGTATGTTAAAAACCATTTTAAGTCTTAATACCTTTTAATTAAACAATATTATTAAAAAGTTTATAAATAAAATTTAAATACTTTGTTTGAAAAAATATAGAGTAAAACAGGGTAAAATGAAATAGTGGGTAGAATGAAATAGTTATGACAATGTTTATTCTTTCACTCATAATTAACTATTGAATAAGTTTTTTGCAAATATTTTTTGATTATATTGTAGAGAATATTTTTCTGAGTAAGATTGTATAAAATTTAACTTTTAATAAAAAAAATATTGTTATAAAGTTATAAGTTTTCGAATGCGTAATAAGATTTTTTTAATTTGTTTGAAAAGGGAACTTAAAACTCTCGGAAATTAAATTCGGTATAATTGAACTTAAAGTATTTAAAAAAAAAGTTAGTTAAAAACAGAAATATTTTTAACTCAACTTTGTGTTGTGGGGTTGAATGAAATATGCTAATGAGTAAATAAATACAAAGCAATAGCTTATTTCTTAAAAGCGGCTTTTTTTTATTAGATCTCAAGCGACCAATAAATCTCCAAATATAAATTTTTTGTATAAATTTCAATGAACGAATTTTTCTAACTGAACTTAAATGACTTTTACTTACTGCTTTTATATAATGGTGTTATAAATGAATGAAATACGCTAGTTACTCTCTTAACTTGCTCTCATAATTTACTCACTCATTGCACATTCTGCAGCCACTAGATGTTGGTATTTATTGTCATGTCAAAAGAGTTTGGCGCAAATTACTTCAACAGTTTTATGCAAAGATAAAGTTCAGCAACTTATCAAAAGAATGTTTCAGTCACCTGCAGAAAAAAAACTTATCAGCTCTGGTGAAGTTTACCTACCACCTACCCAAATATTCACTGGGTTTCAGAATACTGGCTTGTTTCCACCAGACATCGATAAAATCGATCAGTCAAAGTTGTAAATTGCTAATACGTTCAAAACACTGACATATGACCCTGAGAGAATCTCAACAACCAGTATCTATGATAGTACTATCATCAAATCTAGCACCAAGATTCGAAGGGAAGTGTCTCAACAAACCTGAAATACTTGAACGGTTGAAAGATGCTGAGAGCAAAAAAGCAGCAAAGCAAGCTAAAAAACAATGTAAGCTTAGCTCTAATGGCAAACAGCAAATAAACCAAGCAACAAGTCCAACAAAAATATTAGCTGCAAACCAATTCAAGTGTAAAAAGTGCCGAAAAGTTTCGGGCGAAACTTCAGCAAGTCAAAAAATGGAATGGTACCAGTGTGAAAATTCAAAATGCAAGATTTGGGTATGTCAAACGTAAAAGGCACTGAGTTTTATTGCACCAAAAAGTGGAGTGCAAATGAAAACCCAACTCAACCTCTAGTACCTCTAAACGACTCAACATCATCACAAGAATAAAAAAAGTTTATTTTATTTGATTGTTTTTTCAATTGTTATTATTGATTGTTTTTTGTTTTTTTAATAAAGTGTTGTTTTAATTATACTTATATTTGCGTATTTCATTCTCCCGAATGTCACTGTAGAATGGAATAATTTTTTTTTTAAACAAATAAAGTTTCATAAAAAACTTTACAAAAAAATTGTTAGACTTTTATATATTTAAATACAACTCAATACTCTAGAACTTTAAAAAAAAAGAAAAAAGGGAAAAAAATTTTTTCCGTAAAAAATTAATAATTAAAATCCTTAACTAATTTATTTGACCCCATTTTACTCTATATTTCCTTATTTTTAAAAACTTCTACTTAACTACTATATATTTCTTTAACATTAATAACACAAAATTGGACCAGAAATAATTAACAACATTGGACCAAAAATAAATAACATTGGACCAAAAATAAATAACATTAATAACACAACATTGGGCCAGAAATAGCAAAATAGAAAAATAATAAAACTTAGAGAAATATAAAATAGAAATATCAAAACATTAAAATATAAAAAAATATAGAAATATAAAAGAAATATTTGAAATGTTTACAAATTGCTTCAAATAATATAACTTCAAGATTGTTAAAGACCTTTGATCATTAAACAATTTTCCCCTTAAACATTTACAATTTCATTCTATTTTACATTTTTTTTTTAGTGGCTAAAAATAAAAAAATAAAAACTATTATTAATTTTTTGACATTTTGGTTTTAAAAAAATCTGTGCCAACGACTCATAAACTAGTTAATAATCATTTCTAATCATTCACTCTATGGTCAATCTAAAAAGTTAATGATAATGGAAAAACTTGTGCTAAAAAAACAATTTTTTAACTTTTTTTTTGTAAAGATCTTTACTTCCAACAAAGCTGAAAAGCAACCATTATTAGAGTTTAAAGTTATTGGAGGAGAAAAGATGGAGTTATTGGAGGAGAAGTACAAAGTTATTGGAGGAGAAGTTTATAGAGCAAGATATCAATTGACAGATAACTTAAAAAATGAAAACAGTATGAATCAGGAAAGCAAGATAAAGGAAGCAAATTCCAAAGAACTGATGTTCAAGGAAAATAACTAATAAGAGTTTTTGGAGCACTTAGAAACAGTCACAGTAAAGGGATGAGACTTAATTGAATGAGTAACACCAGAATGAATTTTAGGTGGCACAAAAGACGCTAGTTCTTTAAAGCAATGTCCATTATAGTATTTATAGAAAATAGAAAGAAAAGCAACATTACGACAATGTGAAGGTTAGCTGCAAGAGCAGATCAAACTGTATTTATGATGCCTTTATGCACCTTATCTAAAAGAGAATCATTCGTAGAACCACCCCAGATATGGCAATAGTATTCCATACAAAGACAGATTTAACAGGCTTGGTCTTGGAAACATACATAAACTCAAGCATCTTTGTGTGGTAAAATAAAAAAAGAACATTTGCGAACACAAAAAACCTGCCAAATCTACGAACAATTAATTCTATTGGTTCAAAAATTAATAGCCAAAATTTCTAGAGTATTCAAAAAATACTAATCAAATGTTAAGAGAATTCTGTTGAAATATTTTTAAAAACTGTACTAATTGAGTTTTGTTAT